AGAGAGAGAGAGAGAGAGAGAGAGAGAGAGAGAGAGAGAGACATCCCTTTGCTGAAGCAAACACACCCAAGTTGGACATAAACACATATACCTAGCCTCACGTATAGACCCTTTCTGCAACTCAGTCCTCCAGAAACACAAACACCTCCTTTCTTTCTTTCATTCTTTCTTTCTTTCTTTTCTTCCTCCTCCTCTTCTCTCCCCACTTGTCACTTTCTCCTGTCCCCTTTCTCTCTTTCAGTCTCTCTCCCTCAGTCTGTCTCTCTCTCTCTGTCTCCATGTGCCTCGCCTTTCTCTGACTTACCCATCCTGTCTCTCTTCACTCTTACTCATTGTCTTTCTCTTTCTCTTGATCATTTTGTATCTGTCTTTCTGTACCACCCATCTCACCTATCTCCTTTCTATGTGTCTCTCTCCTACCCCACTTCTTTCTCTTTCTCTCTGGTTCTCTCTCTGTCTTTGTTTCTATCTGTCTATTTGTCTCTCTGTCACACACACACACACACACACACACACACACAGAGCTCCATATTCCCATATTACACCCTCTCAGCAGGGCCCAGAGAGGAAAACCCTAGAAGGAATCCCAAATTCCCAAAGGGACTCCTCCCTGTAGGAAGGGCCTTCTCATGATCCTGCCAGACGTCTAGGGAAGGAAATCCCAAGGCATTCTGCTGGAATTCTATTTGCAAGTCCTTGCTAACACTGTCTAACCTAAATCCCTCTAGCTCTAAAGGAAACCCACAGCCTTAGATCTGCCAACCCAAATGGGAGTCTGGGCCATGGCAACAATAGGTTCTGGAAGGGCATCCCAATATCTCTTCTGTTCTTGTACCTTTGGGGTCCATCATGGGAAAATGGTCAATTGGATCTGCAAACACAGTAAAGCCTGAACACAAACTTCCTTCAATTTTGAGCCTAACAGGCAGTTTTTCTAGGTTGGGTCATTTAGACCTGCCAGCCAGAACATGAAGGGAATTGGGCCACTCACCTCTCTGGGTCCTTCTGGAGAAAGGCTCTGTCCAGATAGTCATTCTCAACAGAATAAGGTCCCCAGGGAGATGCCCAGGTCATTAGGCCTATACACCCAAGTGTTCTTTCCCTTGCCCCATAATTCTATGGCAGTGGGTGGAACATCCGGGAAAACAGTTGGATCCCCTTAGAAAAACCTGGGCACAGAGACCAAAGAATCAGGTGTGGGGTAGGGAAAGGGATGACCTCCATCCTTCCTTTCCTGCTGACCCTTTGAGTCTAAGGCCATTTGACAGCAGAATCCAGGAGGCACTGTCCCCACTAACACCATATTCCACCTTCCAATTTGGCTGGGGGAAAAATGGCTAGGAATGGGATCAGGATTTCCTTAAAATCTGCATATCTCCCAGAATCCCTTGGGAGAACAATTCTAGGCTAATCTTCCCTAAGCAGCCAGCGTGGGCAGGAATAGCATGGTGGCAAGCAACACTGGCGTGTTCCTGCCTGCACCCCTACCCCACCCCACATGGCCTCACCCATCACGCCACGGATCTGTCTGTCTGTGTCTCTGTTCCATCCTCAGTCACAGAAAATAATAATGAGGATGACACCTTGAACATGTAAAGCATTTTCAGGCACATGATCTTCTTTGCATGTCACAACATCCCGCTGAGGTAAGCAGGGCAGGGCTTACCAAGTGAGGAACTGAGGCCCATAGAGGGGAAATGACTTGCCTGAGGTCATCCTCTAAATCAGAAATTCCCCAACAGTAGATTAGGACCCCTTCGGAGGGGGAGGGGGCCGGGAGTGGTGATGGAATTGTTTCCAGGGATCAGATGAGATAATATATGTAAAAGTGCTCAGAAAACCTTTAAGCCTATATAATGTTAGCTATTAGACAGACAGTGAGACAGAGACAGAAATAGAAACAGAAAGACAGAGACAGAGACAGAGAGCAGCATATAATAAGCTCTTATTCGCCAGGCACCCGTGCTAAGCACTGGAGATACAAATATAAACAAGCGACCCTACCCCCAAAGAGCTTACATTCTGAATGGGAAGACAATACCTAAAGAGAAGGTTTGGCTGGGGGGTGGGGGGGAGGAGACCCAGAGGGATAAGGTTCTAGCTCAGGGAACAAGGCTACAGGTAAGGAAGTGCAAGGAAAGTTGGGAAAGGGAGTGAAGTCACTAGTGGAGTAAGCAGAGCTTGGCCCCACATACTAACTTCTGGCCCAGGGACTCCCCAGTCTAGACAGCAGGCCTTTTGATTCCTAGTATTAAGGCAGGGGTGAGGAACCCTTGGCCTCAAGGCCACATGTGGCCCTCTAGGTCCTCAAGTGCGGCCCTCTTACTGAATCCAGTCAAACGGCAAGGGCCCCCGGTGGCCTTGAGGCCAAGGGTTCCCCACCCCTTAATGATTAAGGGATCCAGAGGCAGCTAGGTAGTACAGTGGATAGAGCATCAGTCCTGGAGTCAGGAGTACCTGAGTTCAAATCCAGCCTCAGACACATAACACTCACTAGCTGTGTGACTCTGGGCAAGTCACTTAACCCCAACTGCCTCACAAAAAAAAAAAATAAAGAAAACAAAAAGAAAAAGAAGATGAGCTCCTTGAGGGCTGGCACTGGGTTTGAGGCAGCTAGGTGGCACATTAGACAGAGCACCGGCTCAAGTCAGAAGGACCTGAGTTCAAATCTAGTCTCACATCAGACACTTGACACTTACTAACTGTGTGACCCTAGGCAAGTCACTTAACCCCAATTGCCTCGCCAAAACAAAAAAAATTAAGGGATCCATATGCAGTCACATATTTTCTCAATCAATCATAGTACAACCACAATCCTGAGTATCCTGAGGGAGCGGAGTGGTCTATGAAATTTTTTGATGCTAAAAAGGGGTCTTCATACTAGAAAAGGCTGAGAGATACTCCTCCTTGTGGTGGCCGGGTCATGATACAAACTGTTGGCTCCCGATCTCCAAGGCTGGCTGATTTGCTGCACTCTCTACCACCCCCACTGTCTCCTCTCCCAGATTATGGACAGCCCCTCCCCCCACCCTTCTTGCTGTTGTTCAGTCATTTTCAGTCGTGTCCGACTCTTTGTGACCCCATGTGAGGTTTTCTTGGCAAAGATACTGAAGTGGTTTGCTATTTCCCTCTTGAGCTCATTTCACAATTGAGGAAACTGAGGCAAACAGCTTGAACTCATTTCACAGATGAGGAAACTGAGGCAAACGGAGTTAAGTGGGGGGGTCACAAAGACATGCCTGAGGCCATATTTGAACTCATGAAGATGAGTCTTCCTGATGCAGAGGAAAGAAAGAGTCACGAAGAGTCCCAACCAGGAGCCCAATCTGGGCCAATGGAGGGATGTGACATCCCCACCCTGACCTCCAGGCAGTGGGAAGAAGCTCTAGTGATAAACTTCTTTCTATGATGGCAAGTTAGAAGCAGAGACCAAGAGACTGGATGCCCCACTGAGCCCTCCCCTCTCCCTACTGCTTATTCTACCGCTTGCTGTTCAGGGTAGGCTGTCTGAAAGGCTCACCTCGAAACTTCTTCGGTGGGTTTTCCAGATCACCAGCAGCTGGCTCCACCACGCAGCGGTCATCCACCAGCCTGTGAAACAGAGCAGCCCCATCAGCAACAAATTCAACCCAACTAACACTTTACTGAATGCCTCCAGCTGTATGTACATGGCATTGAGGGGGGCTCAACACTGAGTAAGATCATGGGATCATAGGTTGAGAGCTGGAAGGGGCCTCAGAGGTCATGTGATCCAACTCTGTCATTAACAGATAAAGAAACTGAAGTCCAGAGAGGTTGTGACTTGCCCAAGCTCACACATGTAGTGACAGAGGCAGGCTGTCTGAGTTCTCTGACTCCAAAACTAACAGTTTCTACTATACTGTATTTCTTCTTTTTTTTCTTTTTTCTTTTTTTTTGTTAATTTTGAATTCTAGTGGTCTCCCTCCCTTCTTCCCAGCCCTGCATTAGAGAAGGCCAATGTGTGTGTGTGTGTGTGTGTGTGTGTGTGTGTGTGTGTAGGTGTAACCATATAATACATAACTTCCATATAGCAGTTGTTTCTCTAGAGCTGGATAGAATTTTCCTTCCTAAATCCTTTGTAGTTGATTTGAACATTCATATTACTCAGAATAGCTTAGTCATTCACAGTTACTCTTAGAACACCTCTTAGAACAACACTGCTGTTAACTGTGTACAACTTTCTTTTGGGTCTCCTCATTTCACTCTGCATTATTTCATGCAAGTCCTTCTATTCTTTGTCTTTCTAGAATCAACCTGCTCATCATTTCTTACAGCACAGTAGTATTCCACCACAATTACATACCACAACTTATTCAACCATACCCTGGTTGATGAGCATTTTCTCGATTTCCAACTACAATACTTCTTAAGACCTCCTCGAATTCCTTCTGGCTTGGAGTGAGATAGGGAGATTAGGAAAGACTTTATGAAGAAGGAAGCACGATTGTTGCAGATAGATTTAGACTAAAGACATATATCTGAATCCTGGCTATGTTGCTGAATGTGCAACCGTGGGTAATATATTTACTCTTTGTAAGCCTCAGTTTCTTCATCTGTAAAATGGCCTTTAAGGCCCCTTCCATCTCAAAATCTATGGTCCTGTCTATGTCAGCAAAGAGAAAGCCCCCTACCCTATTTCTTGTCCCACCATAGACTCCATCCTCCCCTCAAACCCTAGTGTAGCTGTAGCATGCTATGAGGGAAGGATACCTGAAAATTCCCATCAACATACTCAGACACAAACATAGAAACTCCTTCAGGATGTCTGAAATATTTCTATTAGAATTTCATCAATTCCAGAGAAGTACTGCTTTCTCCAGATTCTTCTTTTAAAATGTAAATATCTCAGGGGAAGAATCACTCATTAAGTCCCAAACTCCTTAAAGGGACTGAGATGACCCTCCCCTCCCTGCCCCTTCCCCCCCCCCCAAGGAGCTACCTTTAAAACTCAGGTTTTAATTAAAACTCAGGATTAGGGTTCAGGATACAAGGAGGGTTTGGGTAGGGGGGCAGCGCTAAGTAAAAACAAAATGGAGGAAATCCAATTTTCCTTGGGGGACTTCGCAGCTCTAACACCCCAGATTGGCATTCATGCCCTGAACCCCATGCCTTCATGGGCTCCTGAACAGCTTCCAATACTGCAAAAGGTGATCCCTCAATCCATAAGGAGGACAGAGAGACACTCACAGAAAGAAAGGGCCCCAGCACATACTGGACCTATGCATTATGGATTACACATAAATAAAACATACATGATAAATGTAATTTTGCCCCCCAGTTGGGCATAGATACAGGAAGCCTTCAGGAAGAGGAACTATTGCTGTTTGGGGGGCTAGGGTAATGGCTACCTACTGAGAGTATGTTTTACTCTATTGTGTACCTATTCTGGGGACAGAGCAAGGCCAGGCCCAGGCCCAAGATCTATCTGAGTGTGTCTACCCATCCTTCTATCCATCCAGCTGTCTGGCTATCTGGCTGGCTGTCCCACAACCCCCAAGAGACAAACAAGATTGTCCTCTTTGGACCTCACTTGCCCCATCTGTAGAATAAGAAGACTGGACGGAATGATTCCTAAAGTCCCTTCCAGCTCTGACATTATATGGTGTTATGACTATAAATAAGAACCCTTAATAAAAGCAAAAGTATATTGGAAAGGTCATTGCCTTCTGGGCCTAGAGGATCTGGGTTCAAATCATGCCTCTGTCACTTACTACCAGTACAATGCTGGATAAGTCACTTAAACTCTCTTTCCTCATATTTAAAATAGCGAGGTTGGACTACAATCATGGGACCTTCAAGATCCTTGAGTGCGGCCATTCGACTGTTACAGAACAAATCCTTTTACTGGGGATTTGTTTTGTGAAGTTTGGATTTAATCAAAGAGCTGTCTGTACTTCAGGACCTAGAGGGCCATATGTAGCCTCGAGGCCAAAGGTTCCCCCTCCCCCCACACACACTAGATGGTCTCTAAGGCTCTTTCTACCTTCTGAATCCATGATGTCACAGAGGGATGTATCCCCAAGTGCTTAGCACAATTATTACTGAAAATAATAAGCACTTAATAAATACTTTTTTTCATTCATTCATTAAACAATATCTTCCTTCCCTAAATGCCCTAAATGCCCTAAAAAAGGCATTTAGGCAGCTAGGTGGTGCAGTGGATAGAGCACTGGGCCTGGAGTCAGAAGGAGCTGAGTTCAAATCTGGCCTCAGACACTTGACACTTACTGGCTGTGTGACCCTGGGCAAGTCACTTAACCCCATTGCCTAGCCCAAAACAAACAAACAAACAAACCAAAAAGGCATTTAGAAGTCATCTAGTTCTCATTTTACAGAGGGGGAAACTGAGGCAACCCAAAGAGGTGATTTGCCCAAGTTGACACAGTAGCAGGGACAAATAAAAGGATAGAAGAAATGATAGACAATGATGTAAAGTTGTCACCTCTTTGTCTTGAATATATCCTGCGGGCTAGGATCTTTAAGAGAATTTAGATTCAAGGTTGCTCCTCTCTCAGGATTCCCCCATAATGCCTGCCCTCAGAGAGTTCCCAGTCTGATCCAAGAGACAGGGGATCCTACCAACTCCCCTCAGATCCCCACTCTGAGACACACAGAGATAGAAAGGGTTTGCAATGCTTAAGAAGTAACATACAAAACAGAGGAAACAGCTCAGGTTGTTATTTCTAGCAAGGAGGAATGCTCCTGGAAGACCAATTTTGAGCAGGGTTTAGAAGGAAGATGATAAAGAACGGCCAAGAAGGGAGGGAAGGATCATTGGAGCTCGAGTTGGAAGGGGTTTTAAAGATCATTTAATCCAGGGGTTTTTAACTTGGGTTTCATGAACTTTAAACACACACACAATTGCATTTCAATATAATTAGATTCCTTTGTAATCTTAGGTATTTTATTTAATGCCTTTAAAAAAACATTAGTCTTAGGGGCAGCTGGGTGGCGCAGTGGAAAGAGCACCGGCCCTGAAGTCAGGAGAGCCTGAGTTCAAATCCAGCCTCAGACCAAACACTTGACACTTACTAGCTGTGTGACCCTGGGCAAGTCACTTAACCCCAACTGCCTAAAAATAAATAAATAAAAATTAAAAAATAAAAAACATTAGCCTGACAAGGAGTCTATAGGTTTCAGGGTGGGGCAGCCAGGTGGTGCAATGGATAGAGTGCTGGGCTTTGAGTCAGGAAAACTCATCTTCCCGAGTTAAATCTGGCCTCAGACACTTACTAGCTGTCTGACCTGGGCCAGTCACTTAACTCTGTTTGCCTCAGTTTTCTCACCTGTAAAATGAGCTGGAGAAGAAAATGACAAATCACTCTAGTATCTTTGCCAAGAAAACTCCAAATGGGGTCACAAAGAGTTGGCCACAACTGAAAATAACTGAACAACAATAACTGTAGGCTTCACTAGACTGTAAGGGGGTCCATGACACACAAAAAAAGTTAAGAACTCCTGATCTAATCCAATCTTCTCAATTTACAGATGAGGAAACTGAGGCCCAGAGACAACCCATGACTTGCCCAAGGTCACAGAGCTGGTAACTAAAAGAGCCAGGATTCAAAACAAAATCCTCTTAGTTCAAATCCAATGTTTTTCCCACTGTGAACAATGGATGAGAGAGATAAACTAGGCAGCTGCCTGTGAGGGACAAGGGGTCAGTTTTTACTGTTTAGAGGGGAATGAATTATAAGGAAAGGAACTGATGAGATATAGGTGAAGAGGAGGGCAGTAGATCCAACAGATGCCTGCAGACCAAGCTGTATCTGGATTTAAAAACATAATCTACAAGCAAGGTCAGCAGACTACCACAGGTATCTTCATGGTATGATTAAAGAGGCTTCCCTGAAGATGCTCTTTTCCTAAAAATGTCCTCACACCCAGCCAGCTACAGCACCTGGAATTCCTACATATTTACTGCTTTCTCAGAGCCAGGGCCCAACATTTACCACCAGGGAGGAGTAACCCATTAAGCCATTATCAGTCACTAAGAGATTAGCAGGAATGACTTTATCAGAAATCACTTTAGCAGATCAGTCTGTTACCTAGCACACAGTAAGGCCCAGAGGGGATGGCACACTAGATAGGTAAATCTAGAAGAGGGAGGAGAGATCAGATCCTAAGGAGTGGAGGGACAAAGTAAGAATGTCTTGGGATCCCAGGATGTCCAAGGGGTGAGAGGTCAGAATAGAAATTGCCCTAGAAGATGTCCCTTTTCCTCCCCACCCAAGGCCTGGGCAGCAGTGGTCAAGGAATTCTTCTATCTCCCCTCCACTACCCCTACCACATGCACACACCCATGAACCCCTTATCACCAAACTTTCTCTAACCTCCCGATCCAGCATGCCAATAATGAGAAACATCACACTTCTGGAAGGTGGTGAGTGGTGCAGGAAGGACGCTCCTGCCCCTTAACCGGGGGCTTCCTCCTCCAAGTGAAATTCAGTTCAGCAGCCTCAGCAGCTACTGCTGCTGCTTCTGCTACTGGAGCGGTTTGTCATTTCCTTCTCCAGCTCATTTTATAGATGAGGAAACTGAGGCAAACACGGTTAAGTGACTTGCCCAGG